AGGCCTTGAATAGATAAAAGTAGGAAATATCAACACTGGAATTGAAATCAGAACAAAGGTTCTTAGCATTTTCAGCAGAAAGCAAAAGCAGCAAGGTCTATTCTTCAATCTTATGTATCCCTCCATCTAAAAGATTTGGATTATAGTTGTGACTTACCTATGCTATTTAAGGGAACAAACTCTTTATGTATTTCCCCACATCTATATCACTTTTTAATACAATCTTATTCAATGTTCGTGTTTGAAAATTATACTTTTTAAAAACAAAGGGTTATCAAGTCACCTAGAGTAATAAAATAAATTGTAGTGTATATTGCTAAATTCTAAACATTGCTTTCCTCACATTTCACCAGAAAGCTGTTTGAGGTGCCAAAATATACGGATAGAAATTTGTTGTTCAAAGTTTGTGTTGAAATTAATTCTGAGGGAAACCAAAGACTCTTGTTTAGAGTTCTGTTGATCTCTCTTATTTATACTAAAAGCAAATAAACACATGTTACATATTATTAGGAATATGCTAAATATATTCTTAGCATATTTCTTTATTCTCTCAATCACATTCCTAATATCTCTCAACTACATATTCCTAATATATTATTCCTAATATAACTATAACATCATAGATCTCCATAATATATTTATTAACACTCTCCCTCAAGTTGGAGCATTTATGATATACATGTCCAGTTATAAACAAGATATACTCACTCCAATTTGTGATACAACGTAAAAGGCTAAAATTTTCTGTGTGATCTTTTTCATCATAGTTGTCTTCAACTTCTAGTCTTTTACTTGAATGTCTTCCATCATGAACAACCTTAACCAAAATCATCAAATGTGATACATCGATCTTCTTCACAAATCGACTAAACGAAACGATCCTCTCTAGGAAACTACCAAATAAATGATCCTCACCAGAGACTCACCAAACAAACGATCCTCTCTAGGGATTCACAAAACAAATGATGCTCCTCAAAGATTGACCAAACAAATGATCCTCGGGATCAAACAATTTTTTAGGGATCTTCCAAACAAATGATCCTCTCAAGGATCTAACAAACAAATGATCCTTTTTGTGAATCCACCAAACAAACAGTTCGCTTCACGAATCAACCAAACAAATGATTCTTTTTATGGATCAACTAAACAAACAATCCTTTTCAGGGATCAACCAAACAAACGATCCTCTTCACGGATTAACCAAACAAATGATCCTCTTCACGGATCAACCAAACCAACTCTTTATCAGTGATCAAGATTTCGAAAATACAAGTGGTGGTGCGGTGGTCTCCACAAGTTGAGTAAGCGGTGAACAAATGGAAATTGAGGTGGCAAAGGTGGTGATGAGAACATATACATCGAGAATGACTACTGCTACCAATAATAGCAATCCTAATCATCAATAAGGCCATCGAAAGTAGGATGGACTAGAATCCGCGGCACTGTTCATGGCGTACAGTCACCGCAACACTATTCATCGGGAACAATCACCGGGCGCACTGTTTAGGTGAATAGTCACAAGAAAGAAGGGATGTTGTAAGGTAGAGGAGAAGTTTGATGGTGAGAGATTAGGGCTAGGGTTTGTGAGGATTTAGGGTTTTGTGGAGGCTAGGGTTTGTGTGGCTCTGATGCCTTGTTGAAATTAATTCTGAGGGAAAGCAGAGAATCTTGTTTAGAGTTTTGTTGATCTCTTATATTTATACTAGAAGTAAAAAAACACATGTTACATATTATTAGGAATATGCTAAACATAAAACCTGGCATATTCCTTTATTCTCTCAAGCACATCCCTGATATCTCTCAACTATATATTCCTAATATATTATTTCTAATATAACTATAACACCATGGATCTCCATAATATATTCATCAACAGTTTGAATGTGCAAAATTTTTTTCTCTAACAAAGAAGTATATATCAATGAACTAGTCAGTCTCCTCATATCCTAAAGCATGTATGTAGTGTATCTGAGCAGCGGCAGGTGTCATAGTCAGTTAAATTGATTAGGTTCTCTTTGACTTCCAGCGCATAAGAAATTTAGAAAACCTTGGACAATTCTTTTAGTTACTTGAAAATACTGAAAGTTTCAATTTTTCTTTGTGTCGCCGCTCTTGTTGCAGTATATTTTCTTTGTACGATGTTATGATACTTTTTAGTAATAAGTTCAAGGTGTCCACTATCCTTTTTGAGTTCATGCTAACCTGTCATGTACCTGAAAGTAAAGTACCTTGCTTTCTTCTAAATATAATGATTATTCTGAGAATCTGGTTTGTAAATATTTAGATATGCTTGTCAGCTCTTTGTATTGTTTAAGCAGACTTAGCATTA